TCGGGCTCTTCGTGGTGTGAGTCGTTCGGGCCCCTCGTCCTGGCGTGAGTCGTTCGGGCTCCTCGTGGGGTCTCTTGGGGGCCTCTGGGAGCCTCTTGGGGGCCTCTTGGGGGCCTCTTGGGGGCCTCTTGGGGGCCTCTTGGGGGCCTCCTGGGGCCTCTTGGGGGCCTCTTGGGGGCCTCTTGGGGGCCTCTTGGGGCCTTTTGGGGGCCTCTTGGGGACCTCTTGGAGGCCTCTTGGGAGCCTCCTGGGGGCCTCTTGGGGCCATCTTGTTGCCTCTTGCGACCTCCTCAGAAGCGCAAAAGAGCACTGCCCCCTGAGAAGGACAAAATGAACCTAAAACCTTCGTAAAATCAATGATTTTGCTAGGAAGGAAGATGAGCGCGGCCCCCTCAGAACGCCAAAATGGGGCCAACACCGTAGTAAAATCAATGATTCTGGCTTCAAAGAAGAGCAGAGGGGCCAAACTCGGCCCCCCCGTCGGGGCCACAATCCTCGTGAGGGTCGTCGTTTTTTGGCCCTCCCAGGAATCGAAAAAGACCCCCCCGGCGACCCGCGGGGCTCCCTCTCCAGGCCCAGGGGGAGGGGGTAGGGGGAGGGGTAAACCCCTCCCCGAAGGGGAAGAAGGGGGGTTGAGAACAGAGCGGGCTCTCTAAACCACTCACGCCCAAAGGGCTGGTGGGACTCAATCATGAATATTCTCGCGATGTAGATTATTTGTTGTCGTTGTCACACAGTTCGCGCGTGCTGCTGGGCAATCGTCAGAAGTGCACGCCCGCGTGTCCGCGCGCGCCGTGGGCGCGCGACGTCGGCGTAAACGTGTCGGCCGCTGTTCTGGGGTGCCGTCTCTCTTGGCAACTTGGGCGACCCCGAACCGCTGCGCACGGGTAATCTTTGTCAGGTCCACTGTGTCTTCCAGCCCGACCGGTTGCGCGGCCTCTTTCCGCGCTCGCTTGGACAGCGTTCCACGTCTGCCCTGGGCGAGGCGGGCAGCCTCTCGTTACACCTCTGCGCGCTTGCGCGCGTCGGCGCGGCGGGCGCAGGGGCGCGCGCGCGCGCGGGGCGCCTCTTTCGAGATCGGAAAGCTCGACAGGTGCGCCATGCTCGCGCGGCGCCCCGTTGCCCGACGGTGGCGAGCGCCCAACCGCCAGAGTGCCCAGCGAGAGCGGTGCGCACGCATCCCGCAAAATGGGAAGGGGTGGGGCTAGCGCGATGCTCTGCCCGACCTCCACGAAGAAGCGCGCGATCCATGTCGCCGCGGTTTGCCCGTGACGCGGGAGTTTTCAGCAATTGCGCGCCGATGTCGCGCGAGATCGCAGCGATCGCGGTGCCCTTGCGGCGCGCGCGAGCGCGCGCGCGGAGCGCTGCGTTTACCTTCTCGATGCGCGAAAGTCATTGTTCGTGATCCCTGCGAGCCTGCTCGGTAAACCTCACTTTCGACTGGGCCACGGTATCTGGTACGTCAGGATGACAGCTCTTGCGTCGCCGACAGCTCTTTACGTCGCCGCCGGTCCGCCTCGTGCGTGCTGCGGGGCTTGGCTGCGTCGGCGGATGTAGCGGATCTGTGCCCCAGATTGCGGGGACTTTAATAATCGCGCAGCTGGGCGTGCGTCGCGCTGCGCTGCGAGCGCGAGCGCGCGCGGCGACGCTGACGCAAGCGTCTTGCGGTGTCAGGCGGGGCCGGCGGCGCGGGCGGCCAACGCGGGCGCCTCGGCGGCGCTGGCGGCGTCGGGCAACGGCGCGGCGGTCGCAGCGACCAGGGGGGGCGCGACAACACAAACGCAAATTCACACAACGAGATGGCCCACATGCCGTTCGCGCAGTGCGCATCGCCCTCGCACGCGCGCCGCGCTGACCCAGCGAGCGGCATCCCAGCGCGTCGCGATGACTGGGATGCCGCAGGGGCCAGCAAACTCCTTTCCGTGTGAAAAGCGCACGTGGGAACGCCGAGACGAGGAGCGCGGCGGGCCGACGACGACGACGATGAGCGTTCGGTCGCGGTGCAAACATGCAGGTGCGTCGGCCTCTATGCATGGCGTGAGCGTATCTGTTCTTTTTGCTGGCAGCGCAGGGAAGCCCGCGTTGCCTGGCTTGCCCCGCGCGCGCAGCGGTTTCCGGATAACGCGCGGCGCGGGCCCGGTTGTCGCCCCAGTCCCAGTAGCCCCACTGGGGGCGCATCCAAGCGCCCTGGTCGTCCGACTGCTTGCTGTTGGAGGCGGACTTCCAGCCGCCGTGCTGTGGACCTTGAAGACCAGGCGCGGCCGCGCCAGCCGCCTTGCCAGCGCGCCCCTGATTGCGCTGCGCGAGAAAGGCTGGGCGCCCCCGCGGCTTACAGATGCGGTCAAAGCCTCGCCTTGTCGGTTTTATCGGGGCGCGCTGCCTCGTGGGAACAGTCGCCGTTGTAAATCCCTGCGCTGCGCCTCAAAGCGGGCGCGCTGACTGCGACGCGCGCGGGCGAGCGCTTGCGCGCTGGCCGCGCGCCTGGGCCCGGCTCGCCCGCCGGGGCTAATGCTGCAAGATTGCGCGCGGCGGGTGCTGACCGAGCGCCGCGGCCGCCGCCCCGCCCTTTCGATCTCGCGACGCCGCGACAGTGACCGGCAGCGGCGCGGCGCAGCACCTCTGCCCAGCAATTGGCCCGCTCGGGATAATCCCGCCTTCTTGGGGTGATTCGCCAGGGCGGCCCAAAGTGCGCGATCGAGATCCGTGACGCCGATTGGCGCCTGTAGCTGGTCGTCTGCGCCGTGCGCGCCGCCCGGGGCCATCCAGGCCGATGTGCGCCGGCAGAGACAGGTCGTTGTGCCACCGCGCGTTTCTTCAAGTCCCACTCTTCCGAGGCGGGCCAGTCGGTCATTTTGTTGCATGCGCGAAACGTGATCCGCGCGCGCGGCGCACCGATCTGGCAGGCGCGCCTGGGCCAGCGCGTCGACGACAATCGAGCAATCGCCGGGCGTTTTGCGACCCCTTCGGCCACATTGACCCGCGCGCTGGCCTGTCGCAGCGCTCGCTGGACCGCGGGCGCCCGGCTTTCAATGGCGCGCTGGCGCTGGGTTTCGGCCTCTCCGCCTTGGAAATGCATGTGGCCCAGAATTTTCCTTGTCGCGATTAACGAGTCGGCGTCAGAAACGACTGGCTTCGCCTGCGCCTGGACTTCGACCGCGCCGATCTCCTGCCGTTCGCACATCGGGGCCGCGGCGTCGAGCCGCCCTGGAGGCGCCGCCGTGAGTGGCGCGTCCTTCGCGCAGGCTACGCCAGCGCCGCCGAGAAATCGCGCGACGCGGCCATCGCTGCAACGCCCGCAAATCGCCGCGCGTCACATGGCGCGACCCTCGCCGATGTTTTTTTCGCCGCGGCGCCGTGGGAAGCGGGGCGGCGGGGGCTGCGCAACGCCGCGCGACATGGCTTGCGCGCTCACCATTAAGACGACCGATCGCGTGGCCACAGAGGCCCAATGCGGCCCGCGACGACTCGGTCATGACGGAGCACCAATGCGTGGGCATGGGGCGAAATATCCCTGCCAGGACACCAGGTTGCCCACCTGCCCGCGAAAGTCAATAGTCGGGTAGTGCGACGGCCGCGAGGCGAGTGAGTCCATGTCTACAGGGCCCAGCAGTAGGCTTGTGACGGAATTGCTGCGATGGCACGCTTTACGGCCTGTTCTTCGCGATGGTGGCGCGTTGGTGAACGTTGGGCCTGCTCGCCAAAACCAAAGGTTGGCCAGCGCGGCAGCGGCGATGGCGAAAGACCTTGACGGGGCACTATATGGTCCGTCTGTCCGCGTTGACCAGCAGGCTTGCGCGACGGCAGCGAGGGCATAAGAGCCCGCGGCCATTAGGCTTCTGGTGCCAGTGCATGACCTGGCGCCAGTTGGGCCGCCGTCGGCGGCCAATAACAGGCCTGCGTGATGCCGGCCAAGGCAAACGAACGCTGCGCGACAACAAACGAGGGCGACGGAACCCAGCGCCACCGAGGCCAGCAGAAAAGACAGGCGGCGACGCGACGCAGAGGGGCGCCTTTGCGCGGGCAGAAATTCGGCCCCCGCGGGGAGCAGGCCTACGGGCCGCCGAGGAGGTCACAGACAGGAAACAGGCACCGGCGAGGGGGGGGGGAGAAGGGAACTTGAACGCGAGCGCGCGCGGGGCGGAAACTGTTGCGCTTGCGCGCGCGGGTCGCGGCAGGCGGCGGCAAGCCGCAGACGGCTGGCGCGACCGGGCCGAGAGGGAACGCGGCCGGCAGCCAGCGCCGAGAGAAGGGGCAGACGGACGAGACCGACCGCCGCGGGCGAGACACGCGAGCCGAACGACCGAGAAGACGACCCCGAAGCTTGGAAGCAATGGCGCGGACGACCACGGAAGACAGGCAAGCAGGGGCCACGCGTCACGGGATCACGAACCGAAAGCACGAGACACACAGGAGCCAACCCGAACTGAACCGAAAGCGCAGAAGGCAGCGGGCCTGCACGTTCCTGCGCAATCCGTGGCCACCTGCGCGGCGCCGCCGCGGGCGCTCGCCCAATGGTGCCGCGCGCGCACCGGCGACCCCCGCCTGCGCAGCGGAGTTGCGCCCGCGCCCGGACGTGCCCCATGTGCGCCGCGCCTGTCAAACGAGCCATTTACACCAGTGGGGCGCGCGCCGCGGGCGTGCGCCTGCTGGCCGCGCGCTACTTCCCGCTGCCCCCCTTACGAATTATGTGCGCGAGCGAGCGGGCACGTGCGCCCAAATCAGTCTGGGTCGAGGGCAGCGGCCTGCAGGCCAGAGGGAATGGAAGATTGGACATCTAAGCAAGATGTCAGCTTTGCCGCGAGGGTGTCGGCAAGTTTTCCCAGGTCTGCTACAGACTTTCGGTGGTGAATCGTGGCCAGGCTACCTTGTTCTCGGCACAAGATTTGTGACAACGTGTGCATGGCCACGCCAGGAGGGTGTATGCACTGATGCTGGGTCCAAAATGGGCATAACCATGACCGGTCTAGCGGTACAGCCGACATCCTCCCAAACTTGCCGAGGTGGGGTTTGTACGGGTACCCGCCGTTCTTCACGCACCCGGTGAAGCCCTTGTGGAACCTGCTCGCGGGCCATGGGTATCCGGACGCGCTGGCCAATTTTGCCGCTGACCACCAAAATCCTGGCAATCTTCTCGGTGATGGGGGAGGACGAACGGGAAATATATTTTTCGGGGGCGGCAAAGAGGGGGGTGATGACTAGGGGGGGGGTGGATATCATGGCGGGGGCCATGATATTTCCCCAGATTTCATTGCGCCTCTTCTTATTCCATTACGTCCCTGGCCCCCCCGCTGGGCCGCGCACGTGCCGCCGGTCATGATTTGCACCCCCCTCTTTTGGACACCCCCCTCTTGGCCGCTCCCGAATGTTGATTTGTGTTTGTGGTGCGTGTGTGTTATGTGTGTGTGGGTGGTTTTCTGCGTGGTGTTATTATTTGCCCCGTGGAACCTCCAGAGACCACCCTGAGTGCATGTTTTGGAAGGGAGGAAGCAGGTGGGCTGGGACGAGGATGGGGGCGGGAGGCGGATGACAGAAGGAGGGAGGACGCAGGAATAATGGGATGAGGATGGAGCGAAAGTGGAGGAGGGGGTGCTGGAGGAGAGGGGAAAAATGGGAGGAACGGAAGGAGGAGTGAGCAGGGAGGACGCAGAATGGATTTAGAGGATGATGTGGACGAGGATGAGGGCGATGAGTGTGATGATGATGCTGATTCATGATGAGTATGGTGATGTTGATGATGATCATGATGATCATAATGACGATCATGAGGATGAGGATGATGTCAAGGAGGAGGACGATACGCAGAATGATGATGGTGATGATGGTGATGATGATGATGATGGTGGTAATGATGATCATGATGCTGCTGATGGGGAGGAGGATCAGCTGATGCTGTTGATGATATTGATTGTGAATGCGAGGAGGATGATGAGGATCATTAAGATGAGGATACTGATGAAGCTGAGGCTCATGCTAATGCTGATGATGATGGTGATCATGTTGATGCTGATGATGCTGATGACGATAATGATGATGATGATGATGATGATAATGATGGTGGTGATGGTGACGGTGATGATGATGACGATGATGATGATGGTGGTGGTGGTGGTGATGATGATGATGCTGATGATGATGATGATGATGATGCCGATGAGGAATGATGCTGATGATGATGATGCTGATGGTGATTATGGTGATGATGATGATGATGATGATGATGACGATGATGATGATGATGATGCTGATGGTGGTGGTGATGATGATGATGATGGTGGTGGTGGTGATGATGATGATGATGATGCTGATGATGATGATGATGATGATGATGATGATGATGATGATGATGATGATGATGATGATGATGAATGTATGGAGAGGAGTGACGGAGAGCAGTGAGTGAGGGTAGGCAGGAAATGCGGATTAGGGATGACGGGATGTAGAAGAAGGTATATAGGAGGGTGTGATGTGAGGCACAGGAGCATGGACAAGGAATGGCTGACGGAGGAGTGAGGTGGGAGCGAGCATGGAAAGATGCCTCAGGGGCACATGTTGCGCGGAATACGCCCAGAGTCGGGATGCATCGATCCCCATACGTCCGCTCATCGCCGATGGAGGCCCGATAGCCCACCCCGCCCAGGAGCGTGGATGTGCTACCGAGGGGCCTACGTATCGCCGATCTATCGGCGATGTATCGCCGATGCTAGGTCGATGCTCCCCCCCCTGAGCAGGGTCAGCCCTAACGTTCCTCATGTGGCCAACTTGGGGAACCGTAGAATGTCTTCGAATTGAGTTTTTTTGAAGATAGCGGCACTTAGCGGCTCGGGGACTTGCGGTCTCGATGTGGCCGGCGGCCTCACTCACACGCCCGTGGTTTCACAGAGGTCGGCGGTCCCGAGCCCTGATTTACATGCCCGTGGCCCAGATGGGGCTGCACGGCCACTATGTGCCACTAAATGTTAATTCTCGAATCTTTTGACGGCCACTACGTGCCACTGAATTGTAGATCTCTGGCTACTAAGTGCCGCTAAATGGTATTTCTCGGAGCCACTAGCGGCCACTAAGTGCCATTACATAATATTTCTCGGACCCAGTAGCGGCCGCTAGGTGCCACTAAATGGTAATTTGCGGGACCGCTGAAGGCCACGAAGTGCACTCAGTGCCATTAAATGGCCGCTACAGGCCGCTAAAAGGTAATTCTCGGCGGTCGCGATGGTCAGTCCGAAGTCTCCCAGAGAACCCACATGACGTTCCCCCCTCAGCGAGTTGGGCGCGAGGATGGGTGGAGGTCACGTGGCCATCCTCTTCGCGCAGGTCTTCGCAAACTTCGCGCTCCTGGGCGAGGGCGACAGACTGCTTGGGAGGTGGGCGTTCGAGAGGCTTCTGCGCGGCGGCTCTTCCACGAACGTCTATGGTCATGGTCGGTTGGTCGCTGTGCATCATGATTTGGGTGGCTGATCGTTTCGTTTCGGGCCCCCCCTTGGGCCTCACATTCCTGTGGCAATGCTGCCCTCGGAAGGGTGGTGTGTCTTCTGGCGTGTCCTCTCTGATCAGCCCCGACTGTAGCAGTAGCATGTGGGCCGCAGGCTCATGCGGGACGTCGCGGCGGGGCCTCCGGCGCAGCCCGAGGCGCAGCCTGCGGGTTGCAGATTCCCCCCGGGATGGCGCTGCTTTGCAGTGTGGCGGGGTGCCTTGCGCAACCTATGGCGCAACCCATGCGGCGCAACCCCATGCTCTTCGAGACCCCCCCCAAAGTGCCACCCCAGCTGGGGATACACCTTTGAAACCCGAAGGCGACGGCCTATATCCCCATCTAGGGGGGTAAATCGGCTAGTGGGGCCCAGGCCACGCCGCTGGGGATGGGGATCGGTCAAACGATACTCCAGATTTAGTAATAAAAGGGAGGGGGTCTCAACCCTCCCAGACGAGAAGTTTTAGACCCCCCCCGTGGGAGAACCCTCCAAAACATCGTCCCCAGACCCCCCCAGGCCCTCCAAGATAGCCTGGAAGAGACCCCCCCCCGAAATGAGACCCCCCTCCCTTTATTACGAAATCTGGAGTACTCACATGCGGGGCAGGGTCACTTGGGCGATGCGGGAAAGCGGGTCCGTCCTCACCGACGTTGGCGCGGAGGTTGGCCGCGCAGGGTCGCGCGCAAAGTGCCCTCGTTTCCAACGTGGCGTTCCGCGCTGGCAGCCCGCGTACGCCACCGCTTAAGGTCGCTACTCCAGATTTCGTAATAAAAGGGAGGGGGTCTGGACCCTCCAAGACAAGCCTTTTCAGACCTCCCCCGTGGGAGAACCCCCCAAAGCATCGTCCCCAGACCCCCCCAGGCCCTCCAAGATGGCCTGGAAGAGACCCCCCCCGAAATGAGATCCCCCTCCCTTTACTACGAAATCTGGAGTATGCCATCTCACGTGAGACCCGTGGCTTGCTCTCGCTCACGGGGGTCCCCCTCGCAGTTCCCCAGGTTCCCTCGGAGTTCCCGCGGGGGCGCCGCGGGATTCCCCGAAGGTTCCCCGTGTCGCTCGCGGCGTGGGGTCGTGCTGCTTTGTTTCGAGTTTCCTGGGTTCGCTTCTGTTTTGACGCGTCCTGCCTTTATTGTTTCCCAAGCAGGGCTTGGACGAAGAGGATGCACCCACTCCGCCACAGACATGTATACAAAGACCCCGCGAGATCCCCGTCCACATCCCTATGGCTTTGCCCGCTTTCTGTTGCTGGCGGCGGTTGCAAGGTGCGCCTCTTGCCGCGCGTTTCACTGATGGCTGGCGGTTGACAGACCCTGTCGCCCAGGAGAAGGCCGAGGACGAGAACCACAAAAATAGACGTATACAAAGACGCCCTTTAATGGATTGTTCCTGGGCCTCAGGGGAGGGCGGCGGGGTATAAATTACCACTGAGAGCCAGCGACTTTCTACACCGCCACCATCCCTGTAGGTACATGTGAAGTTCGTCGGAGGGTGCCTGTGTATGTACGTTCGTGGCGTACGTACAACCGCCTGGCAACTGTGATACAACACTTCTGATCACACTTGTTTTTTCTCACACTTGTTCGTGGCGTATGTCAACCGCTGGGCTTAATTCGGCAACGTCCCTCTACCGGAGGAATATCCCAAAACCGTAAACCAACAGTCTGGGGACGATTTTTCGACTGTTCCTTGCTACTTACTCATGATATGTTTGGACTCTTTCGACCCCTTCCTAGAAAAGATCAGACCTGTAGGAGGACATGCCCGACCTAACGCTGGGCCGAGGGAACCGCCCCTGGCGCCCCCTCGACGCCCCCGTGCTGCCCCGCGCGCGGCGCCTCGAGGCATCCGGGGGGGGCGGCTGCACGCAGGCCGGCACCGCTGGGGGGTCGGGGTCGGCCCTGGAAGCCAAGCAGTGGCAAAGCGTCCCGGCTCGCCCATGGCCCTGCCAAGGGATGTTCCTAAGAACCTTTTTGTGCTTTCCACGAAGTGTTCTCAGAACATTTCTGGCTGATGTTGTCTTGTTCCAACACATCGGGTTCCTGTTCTAAGAGCATCGTTTTTGCTCTGAGGACATTTCTGGGTTCTAGGAACATTTCTTGGTAGGGCTATAGGAATGCCGGGACAGTCGGTCCCTGCTCAAGGAAGGGCGCCGTGGGGCGGCTTCTTCAGACCCGTGGTTGTGTGTTGCCACCCTTTCGTTCCTGGATGTCTTTCTAACCTCGCCGCGGTGGCAGAGCAGATTTGCTTCTGATTTTTTTGGTTTTTCGGTTTTCACATTGCAAATGTGGCGCGCGCCTGGTGTCCAGAAGGTGCGCTGGGGGCGACCAAAACAACGCCAGGAAGAGCGCCTGGGGGCGCGCTGAGGCGAGCGCCCGGGCGAGCCAAGAAGAGTGCCGAGAACAGCGCCCAGGAAAGCGCCATCAAGAGTGCCCAGAATATGGCCCAGACGCGAATCTGGAAGAGCGCCCGAAAGAGCGCCCGGAAGTGCGCCCAGCAGCGACCGATTTTGCGACCGATTTCGCTTCCGATTTCGCGTCCGATTTATTGTGTGTCGATTCAATACTAAAACAAATCAGACGCAAATCGGATTTAAAATCGGACAAAAACCGGACGCAAATCGGACGCAAAATCGGACGCAAATCGGACGCAAAATCGGACGCAAAATCGGATGTAAAATCGGACGCTGATGGCGTCGACCATTTCTGGGCGGATGAGGCAGCGTATCGCGGTGCATCATGGCGAGGTCTGGTAGGGTGTGTATTGCGGACCCATGCGCGCAATTCAGCGTTGGAGTTTTAGCGATGTGGCGAACGACAAACTGCGATATCGCGTTGTGTCCAGGTCGGGCCAAATCGACAGAAAAATCAGATCGCCGCTTCTGCGGCCGTTTTTTCTTTCGCAGGCCTCGAGGTCGACACCAACACCAATTTCGGGGGTGTGCCTCCACCGAGGGAAGAAGATCCAGATCTCGGTGATGGTGGTAAGGTTCTGGCTTCCAAGGTGGCCGAAATCTTACCACCAACCCCGAAAACTAGGATCATCTTCCACTGTGGAGGCAACCCCCTGTGCTGGTGTTGGTGGCCATTTCCAGGCCTCCAAATCTTGCTCTCGTCACCGGGCGCGCTCCACTACTCGCAAGGTGCCTACTCGCAATCGTCCAGGATACACCTGTTTTCCTCTTATGTAGTGTATCGGAAATCCCCCGCGGCGGATCCGGGCCATTTGCGAGTAGCTACTTTGAGAGTGTTGGAACGCGCTGGTCGATCTCTGGGCCTCCCTGGGTGGGGGGGTCCGAGCAGATGGGGTCGGAGGATCGCGCGGCATCGCCGATGCATCGGCGATGCGGCTCGATGTGCCGATTTTCTCCACGCCGACGTCGGCGAGGCATCGCCGATGCATCGACAATGCATTGACGATTCAGCGCGATCCGCCGACACCATCTATTCCGACCCCATCCGGGATGCCGATATGCTCTTCGGTGCAGGGCTGCTTCCTCGGCCCCGCGGTTGTGTTCGTCTCCTCTTCGTTCCTGGATGTCTTGCTCTTCGGAGGAGGAAAGGGTACCCATACTGCTACCTTTGCCTCGCTTTCGCCTTTTGGTGGGCCTCCCGGGAGGCCCTCGTCGCCACCGTTGGATTCGCTCGAAATCATCGTCAGAACGCACCCCGGCAGAGGTCCGGGGAGTAGCAGTATGAGCAATAGTAGTGCGGCGGTGTGTTTGGTGCAACCTACGGCACAGTTTGTGGCAAGCGTTTCGAGGCATCTCTCGGTGGGGTGGGATTTAGGTACAGAGCTTGCTGGTGCCTAGGCTCTGGATTCTCTTGGTTGTTCCTGCCCGCCTTGCCCCGAGGGTGGCCCACCGACCAGGGATCTATGGGTTGATTTCCACTGCGAGTCTGGTGGTGTGGTCCAGCGCGCTCACGCTGGAGCCGCTGGCGCAGGGCCTTTGTGGACGCAAGGCAGCGCCAGCGCAGGTGGCGAGCCGACCGCCCCTCCTGGTCTCCCTGGCCTCTGTCGGTACGATTTTCGGAGCGTATCTTTGCCGCAACATCCTGAGCAGTGGCTGGAAGAGGCTGGCCGACATTACTGCGCTGTTTGATTGGGTCGCTGCCATGGTCTTCCTCACGCTGAATCGCAAGCGCCTCGCATGTGGAGGCACGACGGACGTGGCGAAGGTCATGAGAAAGCTCTGGCCGAAGCTGGTAGTGATCTTTTTGTTGCGCCAAGGCGTGCAGTCCTCGTGCCGGCGATTCACGAATGAACATTTGCAGCCTATCGTCAGTGCATTCGCCCTGGGCTTCACGTGCATCGCCTCGAGAGATCCGTTCGGTCAGGTTACCCCGTTCCACATTGCGCTTCTGGGCCCTTCGCTTGCAATCGTGAGCAACCAGCCGTGGCTGTACTTTTACTCGTGTGGCTACTTCGCGACTGTGCTGCAGGGGCTCGCGCACGAGGTCAGTACCGAGGCCCCCACGCTCCCCAGGCTCGCGAACCTGGCTGAGGAGCTTGGCCATACTGTGCACTTCCCGACCATCCTTCTGCAGACAGCATATTCGAAGTTTGTCCTTGGAAAGAGGGCGTAGCGGCACGTGGCAAGAGAGGCACGTTTGAGCATAGTTCGGTTGTTACCCTGCTCGGGTGTCTCCCCGATCAGTGTTATCCTGGAGCTGCGTTAGTGGCGCAATGTTTCGGTTCACTACAATGCTCTTGCAGCGCAATGCCACAACTTCATGATATGTACCATACGCGTTACTTGCCAGACCCAGCTTGCGCGCGCGGACGTGCTCGCGCGCGTGTATGTGTGTGTGTGTGTGTCTGTGTTTGCGCATCGACGCGTTACACATGTATTTGTAATAATATATGTATTCCCCAAACAGTGTTTGCACTCATGGGTTCTTAGTTGCGTTCTGATTTTCCTGAGCCCCAGTGGCGGTCCGGCCTGCTTGTGGCCGCCCGTATAGGCGCCATCGCCGCTGCACCCCGATGGCGGACCGGCTGGTCAGATGCGATTCCATTATTATCACGATACGATGCGGTCCGATGCTTCCATGGCGGTGTTGTGCATCCTGGCGCGGCCGATCCGATTCAATTCCGACTCCGTGCCGATGAGGCCCGATCTGGTGCCTGTGCCGATCCAATCCGATTTCCTGGCTCGATGCTGATTGTTCCTGATTTTCGCCGTTCTCACAAAGACCGCGAGCTTCTTGGCCTCCCCCGAGAGCCCGCGGGGTGGGTGGGTACAGTCGGACCGAGGTATACGATCGAGGTGGGTTCGGGGAGGGTACCCTAATATTCTTCGTGTTTGTTGGATGTTCTTGTGCACCCTGGGGTGGGTGCCCATGGATGTTCTGTTCGTTTTGGACGGCGGAGGGTCACATGTTCTTGAGGGATGTTCGTCTGTCCTAGATTCGTCTGTTCAAGCAGTGTCGAAGCGTCCTGGCTTGCCCATCGGCCCACCAGAGAAGGTCCTCAGAACCTTTTGTGGTCTGCACGAAATGTTTTAGAACATTTCTGGCAGATATTGTCTTGATTTATCGTCGGGTTGTATGCTCTGACAACATTGTTTTTGTTATTAGAACATGTCTGTGTTCTTAGAACAAAAAGGCCAAACCAAGAGAAAGGCCTGCATAACATGGTAGGCCCATTGGCATGTCGGTCCTAAGGTTTAACTGTTTTTGGATATCAGAAATTGTCAGAGCATGTTGAAGTTACGTGTGAACTTCAGAGCATTGGTGGGTTCTAAGAACAGTTGGGTGTTAGATCATTTTTGCAGCATGTTAAATCATTGTGCTGGCCCTTAGAACATGTGGTAGGCCCATAGGCATGCCGGGGCGGTCGGGCCATGCTCAGATTGCAGGACGCCTGGGGCCATGGCACTTCCCCAGACGTCGTGGCCCTCTCTTCTCTCACTTCCGTGCGCTCCCTTGCTCCCCATCCCAGGATCGAGGCCTCCTGGGTGGGGTCGGGGTAGGTGGGGTTGGAGGATTGCGCCGCATCGCCGATGCATCGCCGATGCGGCTCAATGTGGGGCTCAATTTTCTCAGCGCCGACGTCGCCGATGCATCGCCGACGTCGCCAATGCATGGCTTATGCATCGCCGATGCATCGCCGATGCATCGCCGATGCATCGCAGATGTATCGGCGATGCGGCGGGATCCTCCGACCCCATCTCCTCGGACCCCATCTAGGAGGCCTCTACAGGAGGCCAACATGTTGCTAAAACTTTAGTGACATCAGTGATCTGGGCTTCCTCGCCGAGGCCATCTTGAGCGCCCCAGCGAGCTGCGACACGCCCCCCTCCCAGACCCAGGGGGAGGGTGGTTGGGGGAGGGGAGGGGTAAACCCTTGCCCGGAGGGGAAGAAGGGCCCTCCGCCCTTTGGCCGCTCACATCACCACCCACCAAACCACCCCAACCCATCCCGCGGGCCCCAATTTATCCTTCACTTCCAGTAGGGTGGGGTTTTGGAGAACACTGAAAAATCATACGTGTAGAGCCCGTACCCCACCACCCGAAACTTGGGCGTTCGCGGGTTAGGTTGGGGTGGTCTGACAGGTAGTCAGCACGCACCAGGCCATGACCTGCGAACCACCCACCTTGGACGCCCCTCGCTCCGGATGCAACTCCTGAGAGGTCAAACTCTGACTCTGCCCTGGTCCGAAATCCGGCCCAATCCCGCAACCCAGTGAAGTCTGGCTTCATCCCGCTGAATCCCGCTTAATCCTTGGCTGAATCCCGCTTCATCCAGCTCCCCAACGGGGCTCAGTTCTCCCTGATCCTTCCGAGGAAGACCTCCCCGCAGTTGCCTCCTACGTGCTGACTATGTTCTAAGAACATTTTGTGGTTTCCACGAGATGTTCTTAGAACATGTTGGCCGGGACTGTCTTGTTTTATCACATCGGGTTTATGTTCTAAGAATATTGTTTTTATTCTTAGAACATAATTGGGTTCTAAGAGCAGTTCGTGGTAGGCCTATAGGAATGCCGGGACGGTCGGTCCCTGCCCAAGAGGAGGAAAAGGTACCCATACCTCGGCGGCGAGCGAGGGGGGGAAGTGAGCCAGAGAAAACCTCCTGAGAAGGTGGCGGTACTTTGCGGTGACTCTGAGAAGTGTTGTGTACCTTCGGGGAAGGCTCAGAACAACTTCTCAGAAGGCCGTGGGACTTCCGGGCCTTCTGAGAAGGCCTTCTCCTTCTCACTTCCCCCCCGGGCTCGCCGTCGATTACCGCTGCCCGCCCCGCGTTTGCCTTTGGGCCTCCTGGAAGGCCTTGGTCGCCACCGCTGCAATCGCCTCGAAATCTCGGTCAGAACGCACCTCTGGAGAGGTCTGGGGTCAAGTCGGGCATGTCTCTCTAGATAAGGAAAAGTCAAAACTGCAAAACAAAAAAAAATTTGCTGCGAGCGATCCCCACCGACACCTTGGGACCCTGTCCTCCTCCTCCTGCCCCATGCCTCCTTCCCCTCCTCCTTCCTCCCCCCTCCCATCCTCAGACCGAGGGGCGCAGGCGAGGAGGCCGCCCGCGGCTGGGCGGCGGCAGGGACTGTGGGATTCTCGGGGCACTTGGGAGTCCTTTGGTTTGTTGTGTGATCTTCTCTTGTGCTCTGCTTTGGTTTGTTCTGGGATGTTATGTGGTTCTCTGTTACTTGACGTTCGGCTCTGATTTGTTTTGTGATGTTCTTGTGTGCTCTGTTCTATCATGTTAGGCATTTTTTTGTCATGCTCTGTCATGCTCTGTTCTGTTCTGTCGTGTTCTGTGTACAATGTTGTGCTGCTCTGTCATGGTGTGATATGTGCTGTTCTGCGATGTTACGCCATCAGTTGTGTTGTCATTATACTGCCATGGTATGTCCCGTCGTGTTATGTCATGCTCGCGTTTTGGTATGTCGCGCGTTAGTGTGACATGTTGTGTTCTGTCGTGTCCGTCGCCATGCTCGATTGTTGTGCTATGATATGTTCTGAACGCAGTGTCATGATATATGTTATGTCAATGTGTGTGTGTGTGTCATGTTATGGTCCGTTATGGTATGTTATGGTGTGGTCTGGCGTTATCTGTGCAGTAGTGTTTTGCCCGCATATGTTTTGTGATGTGATAGTATGGTGAATGTTGTCATGACATTGCTATGCTATGTTCTGTCATGTTATGGTGTGGACTGGTGTGGTGTTTCGTGTTTGTCATGGGCGCGACTCGGGGATTCTCGGTACAATTTGAGGTCTGGCTTGGCTTTGGTGTGTTATGTGATCTTCTCTAGTGCTCTGGTTTGATTTATTATGTGATGTTATGTGGTTCGCTGTTATGTGACGTTCGGATCTGGTTTGTTATATGATGGTATGGCGTGCGTTGTTCTTCCATGCTGTGCAGTGTGTTGTCATGCTCTGTCATGCTCTGTTCTGTTATGTCGTGTTCTGTCTACTATGTCGGTCTGTCCTGGCGTGATATGATCTGGTATGTTCTGTGATGTTCTGCCATGATCTGTTTTTCTATGGCACTGCCATGTTATGTTCCGTCATGTTATCGGTTTGGTTGTGTTATGTTATGTTATGTTAGATTGTGGCACGGTGTGTTCTGTCGTGTTCGTCGATATGCTCTGTTATCGTGTTATGATATTTTCTGAAAGTTGTGAATTATATGATATGTCCCCTAGACATGCAGTGTGCTATGATCAGTTATGTTGTGTTAGTGTGCGCTCTGTCGTGTTCTGTTATGTGATGTTATGCCCAGGTATGTGTTGTGATATTATATTCTGCTCTGTGTGCTGTTTCGTGTTTGTCGAGGGCGCGAGACGGGATTCCCAGGGACAGTTGGGCAGGTTCTGCGAACCTCTGAGTCGCACGTGTCCCCAACCCCGAAGAGCGGGCCAGGTGGGGGGGACGGTTCACGATCTTCCGCTGGCCCACGAAGTCCTTGTGGCGACCTCTGCGGTTCCCAAGGAGCCGCGCACGTCCCAGCCGACCTTGAAGCTCCAGTCCGTGAGGGCAGAGGGGTGTGACGATCAGGGGCTGAATCCCTGCCCCCTGCCCACGGGCCCAAGACCCTCACCTCGTCCTGTGCCAGGAAGAGGCCGCGCGGTGGGATCGAGCAGCGGCGCCCCCTCGCAGTCCATCTGGCGGAACAGCGTGGACTCAAAGCGCAGGTCACCCCTCATGACAGGAACGGCGTAACCCGTGGCGTCCTCCCAATCAGCATCAATCATGTTGCAATTCAGAAAGCGGCCTAGATCAGCCATGCCCGTCTGCCAGCTGCTTGCGCCGCTCGGGCTAGGAGCTGATCCGAGCTCGCTTGACCCCGACGGCCTGCGCAGCCGCGAGGTACTTGCGCCTGGCTGCCTCCAGCACTTCCTGGGGCCCGCCCTTGGCTGCCTGGAGCTCCTCGGTGGCTGCGTCGCAGGCTTGCTTCCGTTCTGCGAAATCCTCACCTCCGAGCAGCTCCATGTCGATGTCATCCGTGTCGCCGTCATTGGCGGCGACGTGCTCGCCGCCACCTGCTGGAGGCTGAGCGCCAGAGCTAACAGCACCCGCAGGAGCAGCGGCGGCCCGAGCAGCGGCCTGCGCATCGAGCTGCAGCTGCTGCAGCTTCTCCAGCGCAGCCCTGCCCTCGGCCGACTCAACGGCTGATGCTGCAAGCCCTGCAGGCATGGCCTTGAGCGGGTCCTCGAACTCACTGACGTGCGCCTTGCACAAGAGCTCCCGTGCGCCTGCACAAGAGCCACCCGCCCCTTGGCCAAAGACTCCGTGACCGTGGCGAGCTCTTCGTCCAAGGCTGTGCGCTGGCGCTCGATCTCGCTGATCCGCGCCCCCACCTTCGTGATCTTGGACTTGAGGTTCTCAACCTTCCAGCGCGCAGCCTGAGCAGTGGGTGTACGCTTCTTCTTATCCGTAGCCGTCTTCTCCGCCTCCCCAATCCCGATGTTCTGGAGGTAGGCGAGCACCTCGTTGCCCATGGTGGACTGGGCAGCTCCACCACCACCGCTGCCACCTGCTCCTGCTCCAGAAGCCCAGGGCGGCGCCCACCTGACGACTGCGGAGATCCACCTTTGAGCTTCGCGACCTGCTGCTGCAGGTTGTGGAGTTGCTTGAGCATCTTGGCGTTCGCATTCCCTGGGGGGCCCTGAGCCCACTGGCCGAGTGGCGGCCTGAAACTGGGCCCCAATGGCTGCTGAGGTGACATGGCCTTGGCAGCAGCCTGGCGTGCGGCCAGGATGGTCTTCTGCGCTGCAGGGCGACCACACAGACGGCATGAGATCCTCGGCGCCCAGTTGTCCGCAACTCCGCCTTGACATCCCCAGTGGGGTGTGCGCGGCCCAGGCAGCACTTGACCATCGAGAGGGGCCATTCACTGACGGCGGGAAGCACCGCGGCGAATAGCTGGCCACACGGGCCTCGTGAACAGATCGACAATATTGGCCCGTAAGCGCGAGCCGCTCTGAAGTACGCGCTTGCAAGCTCAGCCCCAAACGGCCTGAGCCAGAAAGGCTTGAGCCCAAATGGCTACGGACGGGAGGAGGAGGAGGAGGAGGAGGAGGAGGAGGAGGAGGAGGAGGAGGAGGAGGAGGAGGAGGAGGAGGAGGAGGAGGAGGAGGGAGAGCGAGAGGAGGAGGAGGAGGAGGGGAGGAGGAGGAGGAGGAGGAGGAGGACGAGGCGGGGGAGGAGGAGGAGGAGGAGGAGGAGGGAGGAGGAGGAGGAGAGGTGTAGTAGTAGTAGTAGTAGTAGTAGGAGGGAGGAGGAGGAGGAGGAGGAGGAGGAGGAGGAGGAGAAGGAGGGGGAGGGGGAGGGGAGGGGGAGGGGGAGGGGGTGGGGGAGGGGGCGGGGGAGGGGGAGGGGAGGGGGAGGAGGAGGGGGGGGGGGGGGGAGGGGGAGGGAGGGGGAGGGGGAGGGGGAGGGGGGGGAGGGGAAGGAGGAGGGTGATGGGGGAGGGGAGGGGGGGAGGGGGAGGGGAGGGGGAGGGGGAGGGGGGGGAGGGGAGGGGGAGGGGGAGGGAGAGGAGGAGGAGGGGGAGGAAGAGGAGGAGGAGGAGGAGGAGGAGGAGGAGGAGGGAGGAGGAGGAGGAGGAGGAGGAGGAGGAGGAGGAGGAGGCGGAGGCGGAGGCGAGGAAACCACGGGCGGGCACCTGGGAGAACTCGGGGAGGCAGCCAGCGCCTGAGACACCCACGAGGCGCCCACGGGCTGGCGTCGGGCGAACGCCTGGAGGATCCACCCAATTACTTGGTGACGCACGTGGTAGCCCCTTGGCTTGGTGCAAGCACGGTTTGGAGGATGCTAGTGCCTAGGACGAGGCCCTTCTGGATCATTTGAGAGGGCATTTCACTGGGTGGTCATTGGGCATTTCACTGGGTGGTCATTGGGCCTGCCACGACTGCTGGGCATGGCAGCTCCAGCCGCGCCGTCCGATGACCTGTGTGCCTGAGTGCTGAGTTTGGCCGGCAGCCCACGAGGCGGCCGTTCGATTCTCCCGTCGTCCTGACCCGCGGGGCGCGGCTTCTGAGCGGAGTGTGTATGTTGTTGGAGGGAGCGGGTGGGGACGGATGACGCAGGAGGAGGACGCAGGAGGAGGAGGAGGAGGAGGAGGAGGAGGAGGAGGAGGAGGGGGAGGAGGAGGAGGAGGAGGAGGGGAAGGGGGAGGGGGAGGGCCAGCGGAGCGCTGCCCTTGGCATGCGGGAGGCGGTGTGGTCAGCGATGTCGCAGGGTTGCCGACCGAGAGGGCGCCAGCGAGCGGGGGCGGTCCCCGCTCGATCGCGGGCTCCCTTGCTCCTCGCCCTGCTTATCCAAGCATCGTTCAAAGTAAGGGGCTGTAACTGCTTGTTTATACCTTGCTTGCGGCCCCTCTCCTTCCCTCCTCCTTCGGCCGCCCGCCCTGCACCCCCTTTCGCGGCCTCTCGCACTGTGGCACACTTGGGTACAATGGTGCCCCCGTTTAGTTAGTTCCTCCGAGTGGCTCTGCCTAGCCGCCGACGCAAACAGCTTTGCCTTGCTTGGCGGTCGCTGCGGGTTTCGGGCCTCGGTTCTTCGCCTGGTCCCTGTCCCTCCTCCGCTGTGTCTTCCCCTGGCCCTCGCTCGTTCGCATTTTCCGGGCCCTCGTTCGGTCCCTGTTGTTTCTTTGGAGTTGGCGCTTGACACCAACCCACGTCCAAAACAAACATGTCAAGGATCATCTGGGGACAGGGGCAACGGCAGGTAAAGAGCCACGGTCTCATGGACACACGCATGTTCAAACGAGGAAAGGCTGACCCCCTGTGGGGGGGTCCCACACGTTCAATGCCAGACGCGGAGTGTGCTAGATGGGGGCGCTCCGGTCAGAGGATCGTGACAGACCCAGCTGTGACCACACGGTCCAAGAAGGAACGTACATGTCAAAAATAATCGACCTTCGATGCGAAGCAGGAGGACGACAATAACCACAACCATGACGGCCACCACGACGACGATGTCGCCAAGGAGGGAGGACGGCGACAACGGCGGTGGCGGCGGCCACGATGACGACGACGACGAGCCCCCCAGCAAATGTTGCTGGGAAGGCCCCGAGCGGAAGGGGTGTGCTACATTGAAGTCGCTGCCACAAGGACTCTGGGCTCAGGAGCGGCGCTTGTTTCTGGGCCGCTCCTTACATATATAGGTTGGGGAACCTCCTCGTGGCCGAGGCCCTCACCCAGGCCAGAACGGGCCCTCTGCTCCCAATAGCTGGCGTTCCTTACCGCAGCACGATGACTGTGGATGAGCCTCGGCTCCGCGCCGCCTCCCGGCCCCAGGGCGTTGAAGCGCCACCGCGCCAACCGCCTCGGCACGGAGTCTGGGCCGGTGGAGCGCGTCCTCGTCCTCGTCCTCGTTCTTGTCGCCGTCGTCGTCGCCTCCCGGCCCCAGGCCGCGCAGCTCGCCTACGAAGAGCAAATGCACGCCGCCAGGGTGATGATTGCCGCCGCCTCGGCCCCCGCGCAGCGCGCCGCAGGTGAGGAGGAGGGGGAGGAGGAGGAGAAGAGGAGGAGGAGGAGGAGGAGGAGGAGGAGGAGGAGGTTAGGTCGGAGGCGGGTCGGCCGCGTGCGCGTCGAGGGCTGCGCTCGCGCGCAGCTCGCGGGCGCCCCCGCTGCTCGGCGGCGCGGCGCGCTGCGTCTGCGCTGGAGGGTGCCGCCCTCTCTCGGGTGGGGCCTCTCGGGGCCGTCCTCTCGGCCACGGCTTCGGAGGGGGACAGCGTACCCTGAGGTCGGGCAGTACCCTGTGGTCGAGCTCCTGCTTCACCCTTCCGCCGTTCTCCCCTCTTGGGGCCTCCTGGGAGGCCCTCGTCGCCACGGCTGGATTCGCCTCGACATTCTGGCCAGAAGGTACCCTGGGAGAGGCCCGGTGAGTAGCAGCATCGGTACCTTCGGGTTTCCCCAGGGTTTTTGGCGCAGCTCGAGCAGTTGGCCAGCGGGGGCCCTTGGGTGGGTGCGGGGGCCATTCTGGGCCATGTTTCCGAGGCAAGAACAGCGGCACCACCGCCACCAGGGATGCCACCTCCAGCGAGGAGGTCCACGATGCCCCCCCAAGCTGGCGATGGGAGATGCCTCGGGCGGGGAGCGGGGACCACACCACTGGGAGGACCTACCATGGCTCCTTGCGTTGGTGGTGTTGCTGCTGTTCCTTATTCCTATGCTTTGGCCCTTGGCGGTGTGCAGCTTCTGTCTTGGGGGGTCCTCGTCCGCCCTCTTTGGGGGCATCCTGGAACGCCTCTGTATCTTGATCGTGCCCGTCCTCCAGAATTGGCCGTGAGGCTGAGCCGAAGCCCCGAAGACGCGCGAAGTTGCAGCGCTCGTCGCGCTTGGAGGACGGGTCGAGGTCCATTACCAGACCCTCGACGGAGGCCCAGGACTCCGACCCTGGTGGCCACGGCTGGCGGCAGCTCGAACAGTTTATCAGTGGGGACCCCAGGCTGGGTCCAGGGGTCAGGCTGGGCGGGCTTTGGTCGGGGGCAGGGACAGCTGGGGCGGCCCTTTCGGTATGCAGTTTGCCTCAGAAGCCCTTCAGCCTTCCAAGATGCCCTCTTAGAGGTCAATGTCAAGCCTGCATGCCAAGGCACAGGCGGGTGAAAACTAGCAGGGGGCGCTCGTGTCACTCACTCGCAAGCCATGCGCCGTCCGGCGCGTGGACATACAAATCAAGCTCACAGAATCGCGAGCAGATTCGGGTGAAATTTTGTGCCGGCTGACTAGTTAGGGCAAGGGGAGGCTGAGGGAAGGAAGGAGGAGGAAAGGAGGAGGAAGAGGAACGAAGGAAGGAGGAGGAGGAGGAGGAGGAGGAGGAGGAGGAGGAGGAGGAGGAGGAAGAGGAGCATCAATTCTTGGAAGAAGCCTCTACCGCACTTCTCGCCTTGCCCCCCCCCCCGAATTCGCTCACAGTCCCACCCCTCGTCGAGTCCCTCCTGGCAAGTTTTTCGGCCCGCGCCCAGCCGTGATTACGAGAGCCCCCAGAGATATTACCCAAACCATACAAGTTGGAGACAGCGATGACGCGGACGACGCCGCGCGGCCCCCCGTCGCTCGCCACCAGTCGCGGGAAGCAGGAGCTTCGCCAGTCCGCCTGGCAAGGTCCTCCCGTCCTCCAGAACTCCTCTCCACCCCTCCCTCGCTTGGCTCCATGTCTTCTTCCCTCTGGGCCTCCTGGTGGGGAACAGGGGGGAACGGGGCAAGGGAAAGACCGAGGGGCCACATGGAGGGCGGGACTCGTCGAGGCGCTCACCCCGCCCACCCACATATCGTCATTATGTTCTTCCTCGTCAGCGTCCTCAGCCTGAGGACTGCCGGCCTCTCACTGACCGGGAGGGAGCTCCACCACGCAATGGAGCTTCTCCAGGATGAGGAACATAGGACGAGAATGAGAGTGAGGAGCGGGATAAGGATGAGGCTGAGGCGGAGGAGGAGGAGGAGGAGGAGGAGGAGGAGGAGGAGGCGGAGGAGTCGGAAAGGAAGACGACGAGGATGCGGAAGAGAAGCAAGCGCCCCCCTCCCCGTGGTCGTCCTGAGTCCCCTCCACTGGCCCTGGGCTGCCTTCCCGTGCTCACCCTGGGTGTGCCGAGGCGCAGAACGAGGCCAAGATCGTATTCCTGGAGGGAGTGATCGCGAAGACAGCCCCCCCTCGCATGTGGGCTGCGACATCGAGGGAGAGGTCAGGGGAGGAGGAGGGCGGTCGGGAGGAGGAGGAGGAGGAGGAGGAGGAGGAGGAGGAGGAGGAAGAGGAGGAAGAGGAGGAGGAGGCTGGGCAGGACGGTAAAGGGGAGAAGAGGATGAGGAGGAGGAAGAGAGGAGGAGGACAAAGAGGAGGATGAGGAGGAGGAGGAGGAGGAGGAAGTGGAGGAGCGGGATGAGTTACGATGCGGAGGAGGAGGAGGAGGAGGAGGAGGAGGAGGAGGAGGAGGAATGGGGGAGGAGGAGGAGCAGGAGGACACGCAGATTCAACGGCTCCGCCGATGTATTGAGGGTGCCACGCTGATTAAATGTGGAAGACGCGACAATCCTTCTATTGGTCATCCCGTAAACGGGATCCTCTTGCGAGTTTTCCCTTTTTTGGGTGCCTCAGCAAGCATTCCTGGTGGCCGCGGGGGTGGCCCTCGGGCCGAAATGCCGTGAACCGTGCTCTCGGGTCACAGTTTGAATATTCCTGGAGGGCCTGTTGGGGCAATTTTGGGCCGTCGAGGGGCCCTCGGTGGGCAGTGTCTGAGCCCTCTTGGGCCGTCTTGGTGCTCTCTTGGAGTCTCAGGAAGCCTTCCTTGTTCGTCTTGGATTATGATGTTCCAACCTACTTCAGCCTTGATCACCGGAAAGAATATCGAGCACCAGAAAAGCACCCCAAAATCCTAGGGTTTTCACGTGTCGGGCCCTGGAAGGCACTCGTCCGACATTGTTTCGACACTTGTTTGACACTCTTTCGACACTTGACCGGGTGCTCGAAATTATTTCTGGGATGTGGTCTTTAAGCACGATGCGTGCAACATAAGTCTTGGAGCGATTTCCGGTGCCTCTCTGGCGTTCTCGGACGCCCGGATTTCCGAGTAACCGAGTCGCCCAAACTAATGCACACATCGACGAGGACTGTTCTTTGCGTTTTGAAGGCCTTTTGGGAGTGATATTTGGGCCGTCTTCGGGCGTCCGGCGGGGCTCCTCCTCCTCCTCCTCCGCCTCCGCCTCCGCCTCCTCCTCCTCCTCCTCCTCCTCCTCCTCCTCCTCCTCCTCCAGGGGCCGCCCCCGGCAGCCGCGGCGCAGGACCGAGCAGGAGAAGGCGGACGAGATCGAGCTCATGAACCAGAACTCGGAGGGACGGGCCGGCGAGGGCGGAGGAGGGGGAGGAGGGAGAACAGGAGGCGACGGAGGGGCATGAGGAGGAGGAGGAGGAGGAGGGGGAAGAGGAGGAGGAGGAGGAGAAGCAGGAGGAGGAGGAGGAGGAGGAGGCGACGGAGGGGGCATGAGGAGGAGGAGGAGGAGGAGAAGCAGGAGGAGGAGGAGGAGGAGGGGGAGGAGGAGGTGGGTCGAGATTTGGGGCATGTGCTGGCCCCTTTGGCCCTTTGATGGCCTCCGAAGGGCCTCAGCAGAAGTAGGAGACGGGGGAGGTGGAGGAAGAGGGCGGCGGCGAGCGAGGGCGAGGCGGAGGGAGAGGTGCTGTTGGACCGAGGTATCATATCGAGGTCGTTTCGGGGCAGGGTACCCTGATGTTCTTCGTGTTGGTTGGATGTTCTTGTGCATCCTGTGGGTGAGTACCCTCGAGTGTTCGTCAGGTTGGCCAGCGCAGGGCCCCATGTTCTTGAATGATGTTGTCCTGTCCCAGGTCCGGCCGTAAGGGAGGAGGACGGGGAGGTACGATGTATGATTGATCGGACGGGGCCAGGACGAGGATGAATCCATGCCAGCGCGTTCTGGAATGCTCTCAGAGCGTTCCGCAGCGCTCTGAGAAGGCCGCGGCGCCAGAGGCATCCTCCAGGGCCGCCAGGTCTCAGAGAGTTTCGAGTTATCCTCACCCGATGTTGCCCTCTTCCTGGCTTCGTCTGAGTTGAGGAGTGAGGGCAGCAGGCGCTCGTCACGCCCACGATTGGCAGGCCTGGCCGCGGGCGCACTCAGGACGCCCTGAGGCGGCGCGCCGTGTGGGTGCGGTGCAGCGCTGATAGCCAGGAGTGATCTGCCCGAGGGTGGGACAGGCTCGTGCCGCCCCAGCGTGGCAGCGACGCTGGCGCGGGCGTTCAAGGCGGGGGGGAGGGAGAGACCGATGCCGCTGCCCCCTCCTCTCCGCCGCGGCCGGATGTGCCCCGAACTCCTTGTCAGAGCGCACCCCAGGAGAAGTCCGGGGAGTAGCGGTATCGATATTTCTCTCTGTTCTCCCCCCACCAGGGGCCCGTTCCGGGCCCGGGGCTCAACAGAAACAGCCCCCCGGCCTACATTCCCAACGAAGGATGGCTCCACAGCTTCGGCGGACCGAGAGCGGAGATCGCATTGGAGAAGGCGGCGAACAACGTGGCCCACGTTGTCAGGGCAGCTCACCGTACCACTTGGGGTCGAAACGAGGAACACGTTGGTTCGCTTCTGTTCTGCTGGCTTCCGTCTCATAGCCAGAATCTCGCCCGAGGGCGCCTCCAGGTGCATTGTTGAGTGCAGAAACAGCCAAGAGAGCGTTCTTGCATTCCCTGGCGATAGCGGGCGTTACCGCAAGGGAGGAGGGCGGGGGTCGATCACGTCACGTTTCGTGTCGGTTCCGCCTGGGATTGTCTACGAAAATCAGAAGACACGTTGGATGTCATAACGCATCGTGATGTTACCTGGAGGGGGGGGAATCGGCCAGGGTTCGGTAACCGCCATTATCTCGCGAAACGAATAGCACGTTCTTCAAAAATCCTCTGTTCAGCTCTCGATCATCGATTCTCCTCCTCCTCCTTCCCTGGAACAGTTGGCTGGCCAAATGAGGAAGGCCAACGCGGTGCGAAGTGGCCTTCACCCAAAACGTTTACACCCCTGTCTGAATCATCCTAGCCCGTTCAGCCTTTACGGTAGGTTCATGCGGCCATGGCACGCCGGCAACGCCAGCGAAAGCGTCCAAGGTTGAATTCGCAAGATAGAGCGACGCGGAAGCACCAAGGGACATTGTAACGACACAGGACCCGACGGGAATCAACCTTGAACGATCGGGGCCGCGATCGGTTCAAGATTGAACGATCGACGTGGTGTCAAAAACCCTCGCGCGCGCCGACGCCGCGCGAACCTACGGTATACCCTGTGGGCTCGAGGACCCGTGTCTCCCCCGCTCGTCGTCGGTCCGACGGCCTCTGTCAAGCCGGAGCGAATTTTTCCAGATCGAGGTCAGTTCGGGGAGGGTACCCTAATGTTCTTCGTGTTGGCTGGATGTTCTTGTGCAGCCTGGGGAGGGTACCCTCGGATGTTCTGTGTGTTGCGGCTGGCGGAGGGTCCCGTGCTCTTGAAGGATGTTCTTCCGTCCTGCTGTCCGACTGTCGTCCTGCGGGCCCTCGGACGCTCTCGCGTGGGCGAGGCTCTCCTGACGGACGAGGAGACGTACCTGCACGGCATCCTGCCCGACTGCCAGTGGGTGCGCGCCTGCCGCACCCACCGGGCTACCCGCGGGGGGACGCAGGAGCGGGGCGGGGCGCGTGCCAGCGTGGAGGCCAGACGTTCGGCGGCGAGCCAGGGGAGGAAGGGAGGAGGGGCAGGCCTTACCAGAAGACTCGAGAGTCCCCCCGCCTTCTGAGAAGTTCTCCAAGCCTTCCCCGAAGACAGAAGGCCTCCCAGAAGGTGCGAGGGCTTCTGAGAAGTCCGGCCGCATTCTGAGAAGGCCTTCTCCTTCTCATTTCTCCCCTTCGCTCGCCGCCGAAGCAGATCCCTCTCTTGCCCTCGCCTCATCTCGGTGTCAATCTTGAGGGCTCCCTCGGTTTCTGTGGGCGCATTCCTGAGACTGTCATTGCCTTTTCTATTGTCAGGTGGAGAAGTTCGAGGCTGGTCCGCACTGGAGGGAAAGGGGGGCCTGCAAGTTTTCGGGCTCCGCTGGCCCTCCCCAGGCCCTGGGTGTCAATCAGGATCGGCCACGCGCAGAGGTGGGCTTGGGGGAGGGGAAAAGACTTCTTGAAAGGAGGCTGCTGTTTAGAAGGCACCGGCCTCATGTATAACTGAGATTGAAGGGCCGCGCCTTCTAAGAAGCAACTCTTTCTAAGAAGCCTTCCCTCCTCCCCCTATCCTCAGGAGGGAAAACCACACAGACACACTTAGACATGGATCCTCAGGGAAACATCGGAAAACATGGGGAGTAGAGGAGAAGCTGAAAATCCAAGAAATATTTCAAAATATAGGGGTCCTGGTATTTCTGTCGATTTATGTGTGTCCCTGGGCCCACCCACCGTCATCCAGCAGCGCCAGCCCTGCCGTCGCCTCCTCTCGGGAAATGGGCGAATACAAGCGGGAGTTGTCCTTGCCCTCTCCCCGAGCTTCGGCGAGATCCCCGCATGACGAGAGACGGGGGAGGTTCGGCTGTAGGATATGTATATATATATATATATATATATATATATATATATTATATATATATATATAGGCCAGGGTAGTGCTTCACTTTTTGGCAAATCCAGTCCCCCCCCCGCAGTGCGGACTGGACAATCTACCACGTGCTCGCCAGATATTCCTCCGGAGCCCACGGCAGTCGCAGAACAGCTTGCCCTGGCAATCGTGATTTCTGCGGCTGACGTTTTGAGTGATCGCCGTGCACGCATGGGGGAATGGGCGAGAACCCACGTGTACCAAAGGCGGGCATATGTCGAAATACCAGAATAATGATTATCGATGGCCTTCGGCACGTTCCGCCACCGTGCGTGGGCTGCGGGTGTGAGGCCACGCGGATGGCAGGCGAGATCTCGTGGGAGGAGCCTTGGGGGTGATTGGGAAGCAGTTTTTGAACTTCTTGGCGACCTCCTGGGGGCCTCTTGGGAGCTTTTGGGGCAACCGGGCGGCTGTTTGGGGTGGAAGGCTCGACGTGTACGTCCAGGTTCCCCCTCTGGACCCTCGCTTAGGGCTGTCCTGGAGCTCCCCTGGGCCACCTTAGGGGGCTTCTTGAACGGTCTTGGGGTCCTCTTGGGTTGTCTGAGAGCCCTTTTGGGGGCCTCTTGGGCCGTCTTGGGGCGATCCAGGAGGCTTCTTGGGCTGTCTTTCACGTTGCGAACGCACAAGGGGCAAACGTGCCAACACTGCGCGATTTCTCATGGGAATGGGACGATGTATGATGTATACTCTTCGAGGCCGTCTTGGGACGCCTCTTGAGGGCTTCTTGAGGCGTCTGGGGGGCAGCGTGGGCGTTTTGGATTGGTCTTTCGGCGGCTCGTGGCCTTCTCAGAGGGCCTCTTCGTGTCCTCTTGGCCTGCTCTGGGACCCTCTGTCCCCCTGTGGCGCGTTCAAGCCCTCCCCGGGGGATCCCCCCCAGGATCCCCCCTTCCAAATCGACCAGCCCGGGCTCCCGGGGAAGGGGATTGGGGAGAGGGGAGCAGCTCGCCCGCCGATGAACCACAAGGGGGCGGCGGATTTCAAGTATCATTCTTGTTGTTCCCTTTGCTCTTCTCTTGCCCTCGCTGCTGCTTGAGACCCCTTGGGGCCATTTCGGCGGGAATATTTCACAATGTTTGACAGGATCGTGGCCTCGGGGACGCGGATACTGTATAATTTGCCACGGTTCGTGGTTTCGGAGGCGCGAACGCAATCTGATTCGCACAAGAATCGTGGCCTCGAGGACGCGAATCTTTGTAATGTACGAGTGATTTTGGCTTCGGTGACGTACGTTACTATGAGGTGATGCATGACAGGGTGTATGGGCTCGAGGACGCGAGCGCTGTGTAAACTTCGAGGGATGATGGCTTCGATGGGGGCAGACATAGCGTAGCTTACGAGAGATCGTGGCCTCGAGGACGCGAATATGGTGTAATCCACGTGGGGCTATGGCTTCGAGAAAGCAAACCTGGCGTAATTCACAAGGGATCGTGGCCTCGGGGACGCGAGCCATGCGTAACTTACGAGGGATCATGGCCTCGAGAACGCGGACCTTATATACTCTACGTGGGGTTTTTGGCTTCGAGACAGCATTTATGGCGTAATTCACAGGGGATCGTGGCCTCGGGGACGCGAGCCATGCATAATTAGTGTATGGGGGATCGTGGCCTCGGGGACGCGAATCACAAGCACTCTTACGTGTTCCAGGCCCCCCCAGAAAGTCTGAGAACCTTAATAGGGGGCGTGGTAAATGGCATCGTTTTAGGCCCCACCCCCTCGCGCGGACTTCAACAATTCACAGAAGGACGCTGAAAGTAGAAGTATAGCTTGGAGACTTGAAACCAGAACTCGAGCAGGGCGCAGCAAGTCTAATCCGTGGAGCCTGGTGGCCCCACAAGGGGGCCGGCGGATCCCGATCCCATTTTGTCCCGGCCCTGGCCTCACCTTGGACACGGTAGGGCCATCGTGCAGCTGGCGGTTGCAGTGGGAAGATCAGCTGTGCTGGCACGCTGCCCACAGGCGAGCGACACGGGGTAGCGCTGGCCTGCAACATGGCCGGGTGGCTGGCAAGCGCGAGCGATCTCACCACGCGTCTCGCGTCGTGGCATTCGCGGCCGCCCCGAGGAGCCTCTTCGAGCGACCGATTGCCTGCTGCGTTCTGCGTCTTCCGCTCCGAGGCGGGGATTTACCCATAGTCACCGCCTGGGGGATCCAGCTTCGGGGTCCTCGGCAGGCGATGGACATGGATACACGCTTATGCATAGTTCCCCGCCCCGCATCCAAGTGTGTTTGTGTTGATTTCGCTTGTGCGGTCTGGTGTTGTTGCTCATGCGTTCTGCATCGTGCTTTTGCGCTCGCCGCCCCAGTCCGTCGACCAGGCCGAAGCGCGCCATATTGGTAGCGCTCTGCCGCGCGCTGGTGCACCGTGCCCCTCCGGAGGCGCACCCACTTGCCACTTGCCTTCTGCGCGCCAACATTGACCATGAGGGAAGGGGGAATACGCTGTGACAGGAGTGTTCGCTATTTGCACCCGACGCCTGTGTATCCTTGTTTGTTCTTCTATGTTGGGTCCCCTGCGCGCGGCCACGGGGCGGGCGGCCTCGGGGGCGCGCGGCGCCCGCCGTCTGCGCAGATGCGTGGCGGCGGCTCGAGGGCCTCAGCAGCCCCCGCGATTTCAGCCCCGCGGCGCCGGCTCCGGCGCCAGGGCTGCTCGGGGGGACCTGTTGAGGCCCGCTGGGACTGCTCCAGGGGGCCTCTGGGGGGGCTGTCAGGGTCGCATCGGGGGCCCAAAAATATACACCACCACCACCTCCCTCCCCCCCTCCCTCTCGCTGGAAAGAGGACAGAGGAGGAATCGACGTGGTGGTGGTGTATATTCTTTGGGACCCCATCGCACACATCACGCCGCTTGCTTGGCCGCGTCGCGCACATCACGTCACTCTAGTACACATGCACACACACACATTCACACACACACACACACACCGCGGCGCCGGCTCCGGCCTGGGCTGCTCCGGCTTGGGGGGTGCTCCAGGGGGCCGGCCGAGGCCACCCAGGACTGCCGCTGGAGGAGGGGCCGTCCGCGCGCGGCCGCGCGGCCTGGCCACCCAGGCGCGGGGCCCGTGCAGGTGCTGGGCGGCTCGCGCGGCGGCAGGCGGAGCAGGGTGCCCAGGCTCGACGCGCGGCGAGATGCGCTGGCGCCGTGCTGTCTCGGCGCGGCGGCGGCCCGGGCGCTTGGCGTCGCGATCGAAATCTTGAGTCGGTGTCCCTCGACAGGAGGAATGTCCAAAGATTCTTAAAACATTAGCCTGGGGACGATCTTCTACGATGTTCACAACTTTTTTGAAGACTTTTGGGCCATGTCTTACTTGTTCTACAGAATCCGCCTGTAGGGGGACACGCCCGACGTAATCGAGATCGGAGGTTCCCGGCGCAGCAGCCCTGTGAGGCCCTTGGGCGCGGCAGGCCAATGATGGCAGCGGCTCGCGCGGCGAAGGCGTGGCAGAGGCCAGGGATGCCCGTGCGCGCACTCTGGCGGCAGCCCTGCCGCATGGAAACTCGCGCACCTCCCTGGGTCGCCATCCGAGTTTCGGCGCTCCGGCGTCCCCGCCGAGCTCCCGGAGGGGCCCTCGTAGGGAACGTTGCGGGCGCCCGTCCTGTCCTAACTTTTCTTCCTCCGCCCCATATCCATATCCATGCCCTCGCGATCTGGATATACATGTAGGCTTGATCCCAAGTGCGCGCGATCCCACTGATACACTCCGCGCGGGGCATCGGCGCGAAGCCGCCCCGTACCCAGATGGTTCGGGGGTGGACAGACCTCCTACCCTGACAACGTCGATTAGCGAATTGGCCGTTTTCGGTTCGCGAGAGGGCGTCGCGGCCGTCATTTTGCGGGTCCAGGTCCGTCGGTTTCGGTCCTAGGCCGTTTTCACTAAAGGGAGGTTTGCTATAGGGAGTTTTGTCCACCGTTGAATGGTCTGGACAGCGAGGCCGCGCATATTGATGGGTGTCCCCTCCGCGACGACCACTGCCAGGTCTTCAAGGCCTTCTTCGAGCGTGCCGACAAGCGCGCCGCGGAGATGGAGGGCCTCACTACGGCGAAGGCCCTATGCCCCGCCTCCTCCCTCGTAGCAGGAGGAGGAGGGCTCGTCTTCGCCTTTTCGAGCCCCGTTCAACCTGCTGTGCCCCCAGGGATGATCTGGCCGGACGAAAGGGGGGGATTGGGAAAGGGGGTGGTACGAAATCTGCTGCATGCAGCTGGTTTCGGCCCCGCCGCCGGGCAAATTCTTTGATACATGGGCGCCTCCCGGCGCCCGGAGGCGCCGGGAAAATCAGCTACCCGAGCTGATTCTCACCCCCCCCCTTTACTATCCCCCCCTTTCGCCCGGCCCGAGATGAGGAGTAGGTTTGGGAGAAAAGAATCAGGCTCGGAGGAGCAGAAAGGTGATGATGCTTCTGATGAGGTTGGGGATGATGGGGATGACGATGAGGACGAGGACGATGCTGAGGATGAGGATGAGGAAGAGGATCATGGTAGGGATGAGGATGAGGACGAGGACGAAGACGAGGACGAGGATGAAGTTTAGGGTGATGGTGATGATGCTAATGCTGATGCTGATGCTGTTGCTGATGCTGCTGCTGTTGCTGCTGATGATGTTGCTGCTGATGATGACAATGCTGATGATCATGATGATGATGCTGCTGCTGCTGATGAAGATGATGATGATGATGATGATGAGTATGAATATGATTATGATGAATATTATGCGGATGACGACAATAATGATGACGATGATGATGATGATGATGCTGATGGTGATGATGATGATGCTGATGATGATGATGATGATGCTGATGCTGATGATGATGATGATGCTGATGATGATGATGACGATGATGATGACATGATTGTGATGGTGATGATGATGCTGGTGGTGCTGATGCTGATGAGGATGAGGAGGAGAAGGAGGAGGAGAGGGGTGATGACGATTTTACTGATGGTGGTGATGGTGACACTGATTATGCTGATGGTGGTGATGATGGCCATGACAATCATGATGTTGGTGATGATGAAGCTGATGATACCGATAATGACGATGATGCTGATGCTGATGCTTGTATAGTCTGATTCGTTGTAGACTGCAGGTTAAGTGGGAGGGGGTGTGGGCTCAGGTAGCCATTTTGGGTCCGTAGCGTTCGGCTCTGGCCGACGCGCGGGTGTTCCAGGGGGCCGCGGGGCGGCCATAACCACAGCCGTGCTAGTCCGCGGACTAGGTAGCGCGCCTGTGGTGCCATGGCTGTGGGCTTCCTGGGGGCGCACCTGATGATCCGGCGCTCTTACGGTCCAAGGGGCACTTGGCTGGCTGCCGTTCGGGCGCGGGGGACGTGAGGTCCCAGCGCCGACGCCGCCAGCCCTGCCCGGGCCGACAGCGCCGCCGGCAGGCGGTGGGGGGCGAGGCAAGGGGCGAGGACCGCCCGCCAAGCCCGCGCCTGCAGGGGGAAAGGGGCGAGGGCCGCAGGCCAAGCCCCCGGGGACGCCGGGCGTCCCACCGCCGCCGCGGTCAGGGTCGACTACAACGACCACGACCGCGGGCATCGGGCGCGTAGGCGAGGGCGTGCCCACAGGCAGCCCAGCTACGCCGGCATACGGAGGTAACAACGAGCCCACGGGCGCGCCTGGGCAGCCGTCCGCCCCGGGAAACCGGACGGGCGATGGTGAGCCTGACCTGCCGCGTGGGCTGGACGGGTATTGGGGGTGGAGTGGTTGGGTCCCGCACCGGCCCCATTGGTGGGCTGGCCGGAGCGAGCCCCCACCGCCGCCGCCGCCACCTACCCCGCCCCCGGAGGCAGGGCCGGGTCCCGGTTGGGGCTTCGCAGCCTGGGTCTTCGAGGTCGTGGGCTATGGAGCGTGGGTAAGCTCCCCCGACCACCCGGGCACGATCCGCACGAGTGGCGGATGGATTGGATCCGCCGTCGACCGCCTGGGCGTTAAGATGCTTGGGTCTTGGTGGGAGACCGCGGTCTTATGCTTTGCCCTAGGCATCTTCACGTTCGTGTTGGGTGCCCTGGCCTTCATCGTCAACACCGCAGCCCAGCCTATGCTGTGGGCTGCCGGGGGACTCCGCTGGGCGTGGTACCAGATTACCCGGTGCTGCCAGCGACGCGGAGGGGATGGGCCCGGCGCCCATCTCCCCCCACCCCCTCCGACCCCCTTGCTGGTGCGCTGGCGCGGGCCGGGCTTGGGCGGCGTGGTGGAGACAGAGTTCTACACGAAGGGGGTCCGCGGCCGAGGGACCAATCGGGCGCACAACCACGTGCTGCTGCGTAAGCACGGGCAGGTGGCCCGCATCAGCTGCAACTTCGCGGACCGGTACCGATTGGACCGCCACGGGCTCAACATCAAGATCGGGCAGGTCCTGGGGTGCACCAGTCGCAAGTGGCGGCTGAACCTCGTGGAGACAGGGAATGTGCATCTATGTCGTGCCGTCGAGTGCGCCTCCTGTCAGTGGCGCATCCCATGCACGTCGACCAGTACGCGGCCATTGACCACACACAGATCGTGGACTTGGCTGAGCACGGAAGGGCCACGGCCTGCCGGGCAGTCGGCGTGGGACTCCGGAAGGTATTCGGGGTCGTCAAGTGGCTGCTTTGCTCACCCTGGTCGGTTCTCGGATGGTTGTGCCGGGGCCGGCCGGAGCCCCGCTACATCACCGACGCCACGGGCTATCGCCGCCTGGACATCGATTCGGAGAGCGAGGTGGAGGCGGAGGAGCGCCCCTGCCAAGCCGCACAAGTTGGGGTGCCGCTCGCGGGTGGCGCACGCCCCCTCCAGCCGGAGGGGTGCGGCGACCGAGGGATGCAGGAGGCCACTGTCCTGCTACAGGAGGACGCGGAGGTGTCGGACGTTCCCCGGCCGGGGCATTGTCTCAATGCACAGGTGCACCTCTGCGCCCACCATGCGCAGAAGTATCGGTCTACTCTGATCGGCCGCAAGTGCAGCCTCCCCACTTGTCTCCGCATGGCGAAGGGTAGCTGCGGGGGGGCCCCGATGTGCGGGGAACATCTCCGACGGGACGAGGGTCGCACCGTGCGCGTCGAGGCGACGGTCCAACCTGGGATCCTCGGGGGCCTGCGCCGCCGCATGCGGGCGCGGGCTCCAAGCCCCGCCAGGGCGCGCGATTGGACCGCGCACGCTGCCGATGGGGTTGGCATAGCGCCCGAGCCGGTCTACCCCCCGCCTCTACCTCCCCCCGCTGCACCGCCACCGCCCGCCGTGGCCCCAGCTGTCGATGTGGAGCCCACGGGGGCGCAGGCCCTAACCTCGGGGCCGCAGCCGCGTCGCACACGCTCCGCGGAAGCTAGGGCCAGCGGACGCTCACGGTCTGCCGACCGCGGGCCCCCGGGCGATCGGATCGCCCACCACGGGTGGCTTCAGGAGCCCCTACTCGTGAAGGTCTGCCCGATACTCCCGGGCGACCCTCGGGGAGCCGAGGAGGCGTACGGCGCGCCCCCGGCGAGTCCTTGGTTTATTCTATTGGGAGAATGCGAGGGGCTCGACGTACGGGGCACTGGCGGGGACGCCAGACTTATCATCGGGACTAGCCTCGAGGGCGTCAGGGTGGAGGTCCCAGCCAGCGAGGTCGTACGGCACCCCCCTCCGCTGGAGGACGGGCGCTACCCGATAGATTGGATCAATCGGCTGCTGTACGAGGTCCCCCAAGGGGCTCGGGAAGTGGGGTTGCGTGTCATCGCCCACCACATCCCGCAGGATCTGCTGGCGATGTTACGCCAGGAGCAGTGGGACGGTGTGGACGTGGAAAGCGCGAGCGGCTGGAGGCGGCGCTACCTGACGAACACGGAGCGCCAGCAGCTGCAGCACGACCCGGTGCGCACACTCGGCCACCATCGGCGGGGTGGCGCGCAGGGGGCGCCGCCTGCGCCCGGGATGGAGGGCTTGCCCCGTCCCGCCCCCGTGGCGGCACTGTCGCGCTTAGCGGCGGCCGCCGCCGGCGTGAGCGAGGATGCCGAGGAGCCCGACCCGCTCGAAATGTTCATGGACTCCTTGCGAGCCGAGGATCTCAAAGGACGGGGGGGCCAAGCGGCGGCTCTCAGTGCATTAGGTATGGCCGCGGACCTGCTCGGGGTTCCGCTTGATCAGGCGGAGCGGCAGCTGCGGCGGAGGGTCGCACAGGTGGCAGCGGCGGGCCCACTGGGGTCCGACCTAGAGCGCGCCCTCGCGGATTTGGAGGATGCGCAGCTGGAAGCGCGCGCGCGGGAGCGTGCTGCGGCCGCCGACAAGGTTCCCCTGCAGGGGAGCCTCTCACGTGAGGGGTCGCGGAGTCGCTCGGCGCGGGGACGGGGTCCAGCCCGAAGCAGGGACCCCGACGCGAGCTCTTCGGTGCCATGCCCCCCATCCAACCCACGGGCCCACGACGGGGCTTGCTGGGTGATCGGGACCTGCTGGCACGCGATGGACGCGGGGGGGCCGCCCGTGGGGCCAATCCGCTCCTCGACGGGGCCTCGGTCCTTGGCCACCTCACTGGCCAGACGCCCCACGGGGGCGGCCTGGGTGGGGAGCGAGCTGGGGGTCCAGACGACGCCGGGGCGGCGGGCGCCCTGGGCGGGCTTACAGTCGAGGCCGAAGCCCAGCTCATCGAGCGCCTGGATCGCCAGAACCGCCTCACTGAACGCCACGTCCTCGCCGCCGAGCGGCAGGCGCGGGCCACCGAGGGCGACAAGAAGGCCCGGGGCACCAGGGCAGGGATCGGTCGGGACGAGGAACTTGATCTTTACATAGCCCGGGGATGCAACACCTTCGTGGTTGAGGCCTGCGAGGGTATCACGGGGAAGGACTTGTTCGACTCACTCAAGCGCATGTGTGCGCACTCCAAGAGCACGCTCAAGACGATCGGGTTTCCCTGCCTGGTTACCAACCGTGTGGCACACGGCTACGCGGCGCTCGCCTTCGGGACGGGCCCTCACGACCTGGCGGTGGACGACTGCGCCCCCGCGCGTGACGAGGACTTTGATGGCTATCGGCTTCCTGTGGACGACAAGCTGGAGCCCCGCCAACGGCCCGCCACCCACATGGCGACCTGGTTCA